AGCACCTTAGGAACTCATTAAGAATTGCAACTACTTTCATCAAAACAGACATTGATAGGCTAGTTTTATAGAAACAAGACCAACTTTCCTACTGGTTTTATACTGTTCTCACTTTTCTATACTTTATGATAAAAAATATTTAAAAATAAAAAAGTCTTATTTTGTATATACACTAACTGTATTATATAACTTTGTGTGGCCCAAGACAATTCCTCTTTACTCAATGCATCCCAGGGAAGCCAAAAGGCTGGACACTCCTGGCCTAAAGGATTAGACTGGAGGAAGCTTTGTTTGATGAAGAAATTTGAACTTGATTCCATTTCTAGGCTTAAACATAATAATAAAACTACTCTGCAAATTCTCTTCACTGGCATCCATTAGCTTAGTTGTGAAACCTTTTCCTCAACCATTGAGTGTACTGGCCTTGAATCTCAAGTTATCTCAAGAAACAATGTCCTAGATACCATGGATTAGTTTGCTCAAGTCCTATTCCACCCTCCTGCTAACTGAACAGCTAGGGAACAATAAAGGACTTTTTTTCTGAGTTCTGTTGCATCTAGCATTTTGGACATGATCCAATTAGTTTTTATCTAATTGGACATTGCACCAGTTATGAGAGGTATGTGGATAGATCCCTAAGTACTAAGATCCAAAATGTGAATATTTCTGTGGCCATATGAATGCAAAGCAAAAGGCACCCACTGAAAGGAAGCCTTAAAAAAAATCTAGGTGGATATTATGGAGGAATAGGAGGCCCCAATTAAGCAGTATCAGTTGGGTAAATTATATCAAAGAAAGGAGCCTCGAGATAAAGATCTACAAAGAGACTTACTGATAACAGCAACAGCTGGAAAAGGTGGTTAACCAGCTGTAAAACATTTGCAGTCAATACAAAGTGCTAACTTTTTGCTGTTAGTTCCACAGGAAACAAAAGTCAACTAAACAAAAGAAACAAAACACTACAATCAATTAGCCACTTCACAAACCTCCAGAAATGTTCTTTTGTAGACCTCCCCTAAAGACAATTCCCTAGCCCACAATGAACCCCAATATAGTCTTAAAAATACTTCTATCTAGACCCTGCCTCTTTGCAAACAGCAGACAGCAAACACTCTCTGCTGCCTCTGCCCTTTGTGCCCTTCACAATGTTATCTTCCCTTTAATTAATCATAATTCTTTATTCATAACTGTCTTGGTGAATACTTTCACCCCTGTGACTCTGGCCAGTCCAAGTCTGATGCCACACAGAAAAGACATAGAATTGCAAAGGACCCACAATAGCCAAACTTTTTTCTTGAAAAAAAGAATAAAGAAGGAAGACTCACATCTCCCAATTTCAACACTTCCTACAAAGCAACAGTAATCAAGACAGTGTGGTATTGACACAAAGATAGATATACAGATCAATGGAATCAAATTGGGAGTCTAGAAATAAGTCATATTTCTGTGGCCAACTGACTTTTAACAAGTGTACAAGATCATTCAATGGAGATAGAAAAGTCTTTTCAACAAATGGTGCTGAAACAACTGGATAGTCGATGCAAAACAATGATATTGGACACTTACTTCACACCATCTACAAAAATTAACTCAAAATAAATCAAAGACTTAAATGTAAAAGATAAAACCATAACATTCTTAGAAGATAATATAAGGTAAACTTTCATGATCTTGGAGTTGGCAAAGGATTCTTAGATATGACGCTAAAAGCACAAACAACAAAAGAAAAAAATAGATACATTGGATTTCATAAAAGTTAAAAAACGTTTGTGCTTCATTTTTTTTAACTTTTGTGTGCCAAATGACATCATTAAAAAAGGAAAAAGACAACCCACAGAATAGAAGAAAATATTTGAAAATAATATATCTGACAAGGAACTAGTATTCAGAATATATATTTTAAAAACTCTTGCAATGCAAAGATAAAAAAGACAAATAATCCAATTTTTAAATAGACAAATGACCCAAATAAACAATTCTTTAAAAGAGAGATACAAATAGCCAATAAACATATAAAAATATGTTCAGCATCATTAATTAGCAGGGAAATAAAAATCAAAACCATATGAGATACCATTTCATACCCACTAAGATGGCTATACTAAAAAAGTCAGATAATATGTGTTGGTGAGGATATGGGGAAATTGGAACCCCTGCATGATGCTGGTGGGAATGCAAAAATGGTGCCACTGATTTGAAAACTGGCTGGCAGTTCCTCAAATGATTAAACATAAAGTTTCTATGAGATCCAGCAGTTCCACTCATAAGTACATGCCTAAAAGAAAAAAAAGTTCATATAAAAACCTGTACATGGGGCAAACCCTTGAGTCCCCTCCCACTGTGGAAGCTTTATCTTTCCTCTTAATAAGTCCTGCTTTAAACAAACAAACAAACACCTGTACATGAAAGTTTATAGTAGCATTATTCCTGATAGCCAAAAAAAGGTGTAAACTACCCAAATGTCCATCAACAATGGAACAATGGAATGAATAAACAACTGTGTGCTATGTCCATATCATGGAATATTATTTGGCCACAAAAAGGAATGAAGTACTGATACTTGCTGTGACATGAATGAACATTGAAAATATTATGTTAAGTGAAAGAAGCTAGTCACAAAAGATGACATATTATATGATTCTATCTAGAACCCCAAAATCTACAAAGACAGAATGTAGATCAGTGGTTGCCTGAGGCTAGGGGATGGGAAGATGGGAGAGCTAGAAAAAGATAACCCAAAGGTATGGAGTGGTGATAAAAAGGTTTTAAAATTGACCATGACTGATGGTTGGAAATATCTGTGACTATACTAAAAACTTATAAATTATAAATAAATGTTATATGGATAAATTGTCAGGTGTATGAATCGTATCTCAATAAAGCTGTTTTTAAAAATGGATGCAGTGATAACCTATTTTCCCATAGTTATTCTATGAGCTCACAAACAAAATGGTTATATGAAAAGGGTGGAGGCTCTACAGAGACTTAACAATATAGACTTCCTCTTACCAAGTTTGGATTGACACTGCTGAATGTTCAACTTCCAGTAAGAAAGATCAAAGCTGAACCTCTAGGATAGTACCATACTCCAGGGGTTCTTATCTGCCAACTGGTTGCAGGTGGATTTATATTTGGTCCCTTTCAACAAGGAAGGAGTGAGAGACACTGAAACATTCTTTGGGTTATAGATTTTTCTTTACTCCTTCTATGTTTTTATCAGTAGATTCCCCTGCACCACACACACCCCCACGGATGTAGTGAATGACTTATTCATGAACATAGTACTCCATAATACATCTCGTATGACAAGAAATTAAGTTAATGTGGAGGAAGTGAAGCGAGGTCTCATCATACTCACAGGAATATTTAGTCTTATCATATGTTGTATCACTCAGCAATCCCTGACTTTATAGAAAGGTGAAATGGATAATCAGAAACTTAGTTTGAAAGAAAGCATCTTTGTGAATTGGTATGTGCTCTATGCCTGTGATGAATACATGGGGTTATTTCTTCCATAGAAATAATTCACTGGTTTAGGATACATTAAGTGGAAGTGAACAATTTTTGAAATTAAAGCTTGACCTTTAATTCTTCTGGTTTATAATAAAAATGATTTCAAAGAATTGCGGCTAGGCATGGTGGCTCATGCCTGTAATCCCAGCACTTTAGGAGGCTGAAGTGGGAGGATTACTTGAGCCGAGGAGTTAAAGACTAGCCTGAGTGACATAGTGAGATCTTATCACTACAAAAATTCAAAAAATTATCCGTGTGTGGTGGTACACAACTGTAGTCCCACCTATTTGGGAGGCAGAGGCAGAGGGATTGCCTGAACCCAGAAACTCAAGGTTGCAGTTAGCCAAGATAATGCTACTGCATATTTAAAAGAATTGGAAGTTGAAGCTGCCCATTTGGGACTCCCTGTGAAATTTAAGCAACAAAAAGAAAATTAGGTTCTCCTAATGTCCAAGTTGATTAGTTATGATTTTCAAAGGAAAATACAATAAGATTAGGTAAAAGGATGATTGGAATCCTCTGCTGTGCCTCTTAGAACTTCTATATTCAGTGATAAACATTAATGTAAGATTTTGCTAAACTGACACAGGAAAGACCAAAAAGACTCAAACTTCTCATGAATAAAGAGGTACTGGCTGAAAAAAAAGTGAATGTTGAGTTAATAATGAGGGAAGAAATTATAAACATTACAACTTCCGAACTAGTTGTAATTATTGTGAGGACTGGTAAATACCTGTATTTTCTTTCCTGTTCTGTTATGCATATCCATCTATCTATCTATCTATCTATCTATCTATCTATCTATCTATCTATCTATCTATCTTTCTTCTGTCTCCCTTTTCTCTACTATTTTCTACAAATTTTATAATTTATATTTACATTTCATAATTTATAATTTACATCTGAGATTATAATACGTTATTCGGTGACTATGACTAAACTAGAAGAAGAATATTCAGAACTGGATTCTGAGAGAGCACTTTTGGGCTCCCCTTTTGGGGAGGTGACTGAAAGTTTTAATTTCTGCAACAAAAAAATTCTTTTAATATGAGTGTTTTCAGGAACTTGATCCTCATGTCTGGGGAAGAACTAGGGCAATATGACTTATTTTCTGCTGTCTAAAAATATAGTTTTTTAGAGGGTGATAATCTGGCAGCATGATGAGTAGAGGCTCTGTAGTCAGATGCAGCATGATGAGTAGAGGCTCTGTAGTCAGATGCAGAGTCAGTTGAATTCTGACTCTGGTAACAAAGGCCATGGGACTTGAGCAATGACTGGAGCCTCTGTGCCTTGATTTTCTGGACTGAAAAAGGATAATAATAAAAGAATAATAAAAACTATCTTCTAGAGTTGTTCCGAGGATTTGATCAAATAAAATGATGGTGCAGACCTCAGCAGAACACAGACCCTGGTAACTGGCCACGCTCTGCGAAGGCTGTTCAAGGGCAGGAAGAACAAAGGCAACAAAGAAATTCCAAGGAACTCACTTTCCCACCAGGGCATGAACCGCTGTGTGGTGCTCCAGCCTGAGTGGCTCCCAGCCGAGGCCATCCTCACCCTCCCATAATATGGCTCCTGAATATCTGAGGTTTCATTGGTAAGGTCACAAAACAACTCCTGAATTCCCCAGCAGTCCTCTTTATTTCTCCATTGTCTCTGTCCATATCTATAGAAGGGAAAAGACAAAGATCAGTTTCTTTTCTCCACCGAAGGATTCTTCAGTTTTTTCAGCCTACTAATTAGACTGATCAGAACCTGTCCTCTAATATCAGTACCACTGTGAAAACTTATGGCTACTCTTAAGCATCTTTTCAAAATGCCTTCTTGTTAACTGTCTTAGTCTATTCTCTGTTGCTGTAATTCTCTATTGCTGTAACATTAGATTGGGTAATTGATAAAGAAAATGAATGCATTCCTTACAGTTCTGAGGCTGGGAAGTCTAAGGTTTAGAGGCCATATCTGGCGAAGGCCTTCTTGCTGATGGGGACTCTGGAGTCTCAAGGTAGCCCAGAGTATCACGTGGTGAGGGGACTCACTCACGGGATATGGCTTTTTTTTATTTTATTTTTTTGAGTTGGAGTCTCACTCTGTCGCCCAGACTGGAGTGCAGTGGCCGCTCCCGGCCACCGCAGCCTCGACCTGCCGGGCTCCAGCCATCCTTCCGCCTGAGCCTTCCGAGAAGCGGGAACTACAGGCACGCGCTGCCATGCCTGGCTGATTTTTTGATTTATTGTAGAGTTGAGGTTTCGCCAAGTTGCCCAGGCCGGTCACGAACCCGCCAGCTCGGGCAATCCACTCACCTCAGCCCAAAGCGCTGTAATCCCAAAGCACTGGGATTACAGGCTGAGCCACCGAGCCCGGCTTGGCATATGGTTTTTTATAACAGACCCACTTTTGTTATAACGAATCCACTTTCTCGATAACCCATAATTTATGAATGGATTAACCCATTCATGAGGGCAGAAGCCTCATAACTTAATCATCTACTAAAGGTCCCACCTCTCAACATTATTATATCAGGGATTATGCTTCTTACACATGAACTTTTGGGACACACATACAAACCATATCTTTAACCAAAGTGCTGTCTTGCTGAAAGATGGACAACCCTGACAACCTTCTGTATTACTAACATAAGGGTTTAAAAACAAAACAAAACAAAACGTAGCGAAGTATTTCTTCTGGTGTATGGACCAACTTCTATTTTGAATACTCGCTCTCTACATCCCTAATGGTTCTGAGGTTTCAGCCCTTTGTGGTTTTTTCCCACTTCTCATCAGGTCACTGTTGAGTAATGTGGCCGATTCTGAGAAGTTGCTACCACTTTTCACCTCAGGTGATGCTTACCCAACAGACATGATTAATCTTTTTGTTGAAAATTGAGCAGAGGTGGTAATGAGGGCTATATAAGGAGCCCTGTAACTAGGGACTGGGAGAGAGGGAAGGAAATCCTTGAAGAAAGGTAATGAGGCAAAGAGGCAGAGGGGCTGATTCAGCCCGAGATCACAGAATGGTGTAACAGCCAAAGGAAAGATTAACGCTTCACTTTCTCACCAGTTAAAAACCAGACCACTGCAATAAGGTGGTAGGGGCAGGTGGAAACAGAGTAGACACTGGAGGCTGAGGAGAAATGTTTTCCAAAATATTTGTTGAAGAACTTGAAATCTTACTTTTCAGATATCTAATGAGAAATATTACTGGCATGTGTACTCTATCATTAATATAATGACAACAGCCTCATTATATCAGAATTAAAGCAGAATCAACAAATATATTGAGCATAATTTGATGTTTTAAAATTATTGTTTATTGATGATATATTGTCTTTAACTTAGTTGTAATGACTGATTTCTCTTTTAATTTAATACCTAATATTTTTATTCTATTCCAAATGGGACAGATATTAACAGTATATCTCATGAATTGGATAAAGCCAAAATGAAAATTTTTGAAATGATGCATCTCCTTTGTGCTGTTGAAGATACTTTAGAGATGGGAATGAATCCAAGTATTCTGGGGTCTGAAATGTATATAATCTTGTGTCTTAGTCCGTTTAGTGTTTCTATAACAGAATACTTGTGGTTGGGTAATTTACAAAGGAAATGGGTTTATTTAGCTAATGTTCTGCTGGCTGGGAAGTACAGAAGCATGGAACTAGCATCTGCTCGGTTCCTCGTAAGGGCTTTTCATGCTACATCAGAACATAGAAGAGAAGGTCAAAGGGGAATTGGACACCTGCGAAGAGGTAAAACTCAAGAGGTATCCTGGCTTCACAACAACCCACTCTCATGGGAGTATTCCCATGAGAACAAATCCAGTCTAGAGTTTCCAGCAAGAGTTTCTACAAAATACGTAGTGAGAAGCATCAGCAGTTAAAGACCAAGAAAGTTTGGAGGATATCCCTTCTGAAATTAATCAATAGTACCTGCCCCATGCTGGGGGGACATGGACAAATTTATGGAATAAAAATTGCTATTTTCGTCTATATCTGTACCTGATTTTCTGAAATTTTAATGAAAACCAAGAAAGCTAAATTGTAATGTTTCCTATCTCATGCTCAGCCTGCATCTCAAACTATATGTCAGAGAAGGAAGAGCTTAAAAAAACAAAAACAAAAACAAAACCCCAGGTAATGTACTAGTGGGAAAATCTGTCATTTTCAAATCAGACATGTCTGTTTTCAGATCTTGATCCAGGAAAGGAGTAGATTTTATCTAAGTTTTGGCAATGGTCCAGCAGAACTAGCCTGAGATCACGTAACAGAAGCAGGCAGCGGCACATTCCAGGTTGTGTTCATGCTCACACGAGTCATTAATTTTCAAAAAGAGTTTTCTAAATAGTAGATCTACTCTAAAAATGACTCTTAAATTTAAAATATATTTTACACACTCACCTCCATGTTCTCCATAACTCCTTTTTCAACCATCGATAGTTTCACTTTAATTGAGTACTTGCTATGAGCTGAACAAGTCACTTCCAACATTCATTTGACAAATCTGTATTGAGAGGCCACCATGCACCAGCACCATTGTGTAGCCAGAACCTGGGCCTGTGAAGTCTAGATACTGAGTCTCTTAGGACTGATGTATCTGCCTGACAGACCACACATCATCCTGTGTTTTGGGTCCTCAGGCAACCTTCAGGGGAGACAAGTCACTTCTATTCTGACCCCGGCTTCTTCCCAGACCCTCTGAAACTAAAAAAAGCTCAACAATCCATTGCATAAGAGAAATATTATCCCAGTGGTCATCTCTGTCAGCAGGAAGAAACCCACTTACCTTTTGTACTGTACAAAATAGACACTGCTGTTGTCCGCAAGTGCCCTCCCAGGCTGCCAGTGCAAAATGTTGTAAAAATTTCGGGACTGAAATTGTACCCTCTGAGGCTTCAGAGACCCATGGTCTGGCTGAGTTCCTAAAATCATAAGAGAAGTGAGAACATTGCATGTGGATATGAACACCACTGTTTTAGCAGTAGTTTTCAATTGAATACAGTACCTGCATCTGGATTCCCTAAAATAGTTGCTCAAAGTGCAGGTAGTAGTGGAGGTGGAACCTGGACATCGACATTTTGAATTTTGATGCATGCTGAGGTCCCAGAATAATGTGTTCCAAATGATACAAATATACATAGTATCCTCCCACCCTTCTTCCCAAGCTGTAGAGGAAGTAAATTGCAGTGAAAAAATATTGCCCTTGGTTCATTCCCCAATAGTGATAAGATAAAATGACTGAGATGAAAAACCCACACCAAGGCCATGCATCCATCTTCCTAGGAGCCACTATATCAACACTACTCAGGCAAAATTTGCTTCAGATCAATTCTGGCTTCAGGACCTCAGCCCTCCACTCAGTTCCTCCTGTCTCGGGTTTTTGCTCAATCTCTGGAACCTGCCTCCAGGTAGGGCCATCTTTGCTATCCCACTCCTGAATGGCTGAACTTACCTGCTTACATCCTGGCTCCAAGTACCCAAGTATAATCACCCCATAAATTGGCCCATGCTAAGGAGGGGGACTGCCCAAGATCCACCCGTAGGCCTAGTGTTTCTGAGAGCAATCATAACCAGAGAGGGGATAATTTTTCACTGGCATGGCTTATGCTTTCTTCCTCAAATCCTGTGATATAGGTGGTGGTCCAACTTCACCTGCATTTAGTTCCGTGGAGGTGAGAGACTTTTGACGAAATTTTATTCTGGGGTCATGTTCTGATAAGGGATAAGAAATTGAGCAGAAGGAGTCAAGGTGCAGGTCTCTTTTCTCCCTGGTCTCAACTTCTGTCAACCTCTCTCCCTTGCATCTCCAGAGTTGCTGCCTCTTACCCCACTATACCAGGAATGACCACACCTTCGTGTCTCTGCACTGGCCTTTCCCTCTTCCTGCACTACTCTTCCTCTGTATTTCTACATGGCTCATTTCCCCACCTCCTTCACGTCTTTGCTCAAATACCACCTTATTGAGAGGGAAGAAAATACCCAAGTCCATGATCTTGGCTCTGACCTTTCATAATTGGTTATTTTCTGATGAATGGGCTATTTCCCCAGGCATTTGTTTTTACCAACCAGATTGTGTTAATAGTGCTACTTGTTTTTTCTTTGTTTTTATTTTTATTTATCTTTTGATGCTCCTTCAGTGCATCAAACGGTGTTGTGCAATTGAAAGTATCTATTGCCACAGTTGATTTTGCTTATCAAAATCGCTACCTGATCAATCATATTTAAAAATTCCAGAAGTTCTTGGGAGATAACAGGCACAATTTCCTGAAGAACTGCCTAGTGTCAAATTGCTAATATGAAGATAGATGGCTCAGTGGCCTTTATTTCTTCTGTCTATGAATGTCTTCTCTTATTTTTGTAATAACACCACTGCGATCACCAGCAACAGTGATAACAATTCACTCTGCACCAGACATGGAGGGGTTTTATCTGCACTAACTCATTTAATTTGCCCAGTTATTCTATGAGAAAGGTACTCTGCATTGCGGTCTTCCTCTTACAGACCAAAAAAATGAAACCTTGGAGACTCGAAGGAGCTTGCTGGGCAGCAAACAATAAAGTTGATTTTGTATCTGGGCCGTCTGATTCCAGAGCCTGTCTCCTACCTACAACAGGAAATCAAGAGAAAAACCAAAAACTAAGAGAAACTAAGAAAAGCAGTACACCAATGAGAGGCTGACAGTATTTATTAATCCTCCTTTTTCCCTCCCCCTCCTCCTTCTGGCTAGTGTTCATTGAACATTGAACATAAATAAACATTAAACTTGTATCAGGCACTTATTTGCAACTTGTTAAATTCTCACAACCACCAAATAAGGTGTATTTTTTTTGTTTCAGACAGGGTCTCACTATGTCACCCAGGCTTGAGTACAGGGGCACAATCACAACTCCCTGCAGCCTCAACCTCCTGGGCTCCTGCCTTAGCCTTTCAAGTAACTAGGACTCCCAAGTAGCTAGGACTCCACTATAAGTATGCGCCACAATGCCTAGCTAATCTTTTGTTCGTTTGTTTTGCTATGTTGTCTAGGCCAGTCTTGAACTCCTGTCCTCAAGCAATCCTACCTGCGGCCTCTCTAAGTGTTGGAATTATAGGCATGAGCCATCATGTCTGACTTCAGTAGATATTTTTGTGACTACATTTTCTTTTTTTTTTGAGTTGGAGTCTCACTCTGTCACCCAGACTGGAGTGCAGTGGTGCTCCTAGCCACCGCAGCCTCGATCAGCTGGGCTCCGGCGATCCTTCCGCCTCAGTCTTCCGAGTAGCCGGAATTACAGGTGCGTGCTACCACGCCCGGCTGATTTTCTGATTTCTTGTAGAGATGAGGTCTCGCTGCCCAGGCGAGTCTCGAACCCACGGGCTCAGGCAATCCACTCACCTCAGCCTCCCAAAGGCGCGGGATTACAGGCTGAGCCACCGAGCCCTGCATGACTACATTTTCCAGGAAGCTAAGGCTTCCTGGAAAATGTAGTTGTGTATTTTGGATAAAACACATAACAAAAGAAGTTGTGTATTTTATCCAAAGTTACAGACCTGGTAAGATTCAGAGCCAGGAACACTTTGATAGTACTTGAATTCCTACCACATTTCTCTAAATGAGTCTTTATCATTGTCAAGATCCAGAGGCATAGTCCACTCAAATCCACATTTTTCTGAAAGACGGAGACTTCAAATGCTTTTATGCGTCAGTCACTGGACAAATGTATGACCTTGGGAAATCACTTGAGCCACTGACACTAAAAGTTACCTATTGTTAACCTGGTTTCTAATAAGCTTGCTCAGAGGTATGCTGTGATGATAAGATGCTCTACTCTCTTGAAGAGTTATCCATAAATAGCAGTAGCAATTTCTCACATGTTTGTTCTGTCAGGTGCTTCTCTAAGCTCTTCGTATATATTACCTCATTTAATTTTCACAATGATCTACAATCTCCTTTCTACTAATGAAAAGATTGAGGCACAAGGGTATTAAGTAAATTGCCCAAGTTTTCCTAGATAATAAATGTCAGAATTGAAATCCAGACTCTTGACAGTCTGGCTTAGAAGCCTATGCTCATAACTACCATGCTATAGTGTTACTTCAAGGCAAAAGTATGGCGGGGGGAGATGTGTTTTGTCCAAAGTCTGTTACACCCACCAGAATGCCTCCTTTTTGATAGGTACATGTGAAACTGTTCAACCTACAGATAGAAACTAATTTCATGCTCTTTTGATAATTTAGTGACATAAGAAAGCTGAAATCTTTACAAAGCCCAGAAAAAAAAGTCAGTACCATTTTTAATAGTCCCTTGAACAGACTCAGAAGACACAGTTAGTTGTAGGCAACGAAAAGTAACAAAGCACTTACCTACTACACCAGTCAGGTAGAAACTGATGAGGAAGCCTAGAAAGCAATGTTTAGACATCATGGTCGCAAGTGTGACTGGTCAGGAAATCAGCGCTCCCTTCAATGAAAGGACAGTTCGGAACAAAAGAGGAAGATATAAAATCCACAATCCCTCGTGGGTTTCAACCAAATGCAAATGGTTCCTTGAAGCAAATTAATTTTGTTTCGTAACTACATAATATCATTTATTTTAGGAAAATTTTTTAAGTATAAGAATCATGTCAAAAAACATTTGCTGGAGTCACTTTTATTTGGAAGCTTGTTTTTGTTAAGGGTAGGGCAGGGATTGTGTAAGTTACATGCAGGTGAGTGAATGAAACAGCTCCTCGGCCTTTAAAATAATCTGGCCCCAGGAGGCAGAGAAGCTGCCAGGCACTAGGACTTGGCAAACAGGGTGATTTTGACTAATTTGTTTGGCGGTTCCAGCTCTCAGGGCCCCTGGCAGCGGTTCGAAGCAGGTGGGATCTCTGGTTGACTCTTCCTTTTTCTTCTTTTTGGTAGCTCCCCAATGAACCTCTCTGGAATGCCTCTGGCTCTCCACAGGGGCCCCGCCATGCTCTTCATCCTTTCCCACGCCATGGTGGTCCTGGACCCCCCTCAACTAAAGCCTCTTCCTTTTCCATTCCCACTCCTTCTTTCAAGAAATCCAGATCAAGATTTTCAGCCTGTAAAACCAAAGGGTTCCTTAAAAAGATGAATGTGGAAGATAATCATTTAGAGCTACCATTAGATTTTTTCATATCTTCTTTGAAATCTGACTGAACTAGGTCCTCTGTTCTCTGCCCATGATTCATTATATTGGTTTTTTTGGCTTTGTTTTTACCAAATTATGTTTACTATATGCTAAAAACATGGCACTAACATTATGCATCATGCATGCTCAAAAAAATCACTAACATTATACATTTTTTTATTTTTTTGAGTTGGAGTCTCACTCCGTCGCCCAGACTGGAGTGCAGTGGCTGCTCCCGGCCACCGCACCCTCGACCTGCTGGGCTCCGGCGATCCTTCCGCCTCAGC